CTATTTCTATGAGAAAAATTTTAAAATAGTCAGCATATCCATAAGTTCGTATCACTTCTCACTCACTCTATAGGTTTTCTCTCTTCTGTATAAAAATGCAAGTTTTGTTTATATACTTACACTACATGCTTTTGGCACTTCCCTCACTGTAAAGCTTTCTCTTGATTCGTTAGCTCAAAGCCATTCAAATTTACTAATAATTGTTTACAACCCTATCAGAACAATGTTAGTTGATAATCAGCTCATTCCAAAGAAATAGAGAAGTTCAGATTTTTTAATGCAAGTGCTTACCTCATATTTGCACACTGGCATTTGCACGTCCCTCATCATGCTCGTTGTAGTGATTTCCGAGACAACAAGAGGAGATGAAACGCTCCCACTTCCCTCCATGTAAAAACATGAGATACGATAGGCGCGATCCACCTTTGTAATGAATTTCGGCTAAACCTTGTCGTTTATTGCAGCAGCAGAAATTCATAAAAAGTTCGTACATGAAAGGAAACCACGATGGTTGTAACCATGAAAACTCCACGCGGATTAAGCGATCGAGTCCGCATCAGACCGCAAGCGTGAAAGCCAACGACGATGCCAGCCACTCGCCTCCCGCCATCATCGGATCGGCAGTTGTTGTCAATGTAGAATCCATAAAGATGAAAACTACTATGTTGGGATGAGATGGAGAAGTGCAGATTCAAATTTTCCTTGCTTTAATATCATGTAGTTGTTCTACATCGAAAATACAGATTTTCTAGGTAGTTACATGATTCTCCGTGACTTTTTCAACGCTCTTTCTCCTCGTTTAACTCGATTCTGACTCATTGTGTAAAATGGCTTTCGAACGTATACAAAAGTTTATGCTTGACAGCTTTTTTCTTCCTCTTACCTCGTTCATGTATCCTCAACTCAATCTATTTTGTACATATACCAAATACAAAAGTAAATGCTTAAAGCTCCTTTCTTCTTCTCCAAACTTCATTCATGGATCTCCCATTTATTCAGTTTTGTATTGCATATTGAGTCGAGAAAGGAAATGCCACGTTTTCGAAAAAATACATTTGACGTCCATACTTTTTAGGTTTTTTCATAATAATTGCTTTCTTTTGATAATTGATAAATAATTCTATCAGAGACGCTAATAGTAAGTTAATCAAAATAAAATGGTCGTCATTACTTAAACCTTCTCCCATATTCTCAAACATTCATCGATGCATTACATTAGAATCGCGCCGCATTCTTAGAGAAAGTTGTTGAGTCAGTTGTGAGGAAATACACGTTTTTGAAGATTATACATTGCCTAGGCTGAAATTTGATTGGAAAAGGTGGAAATCTTTTGGAGCAAATTCTGGAAATTTCATAGACTATTGAACGCCTTTCAAATAGTCTCCTTTAAACTCGGATGGTCTACCAATGTGTGGAGTATTTTGATCAAGAATTGGACTTATTGTGCTGATCTTAGGTAGTATCATACGACATAAATATTCCCCTCAGTATAAATTCGCTTAAATGGCCTAAGATTTTTTTGTTATAAAAGAAACACTAACAGATATCGAAAGTGATATCCGCGACTAGCAGGTGTCCTGTTTTTCCTCAAAAGTCGGAACGAAGTAAAAGGCTTGAAGAAGCGATAACTATTTTGTGAAGCAGGAAAAAGCTTTCAAATTGTATATAACATCGAAAAGTTTTAAATGAGCTTGAAAATGAGCATTCAAAAATAATGACGGAAAGTATAACAACGTAATTGAAAATGAACAAGTGTTATTTGGAACACATCTGTAATGTATGGTGCGCACTCTCTAATAATAAAATAAATATTATTGATTTTGTATTAGTTAACTGATCAATTTATAACACTCATCTTAGACACTAATACCAAACTCCTATGAGATTATCAAGACTGAACATACTAGACATAAAAACAGTAGATTAGCTTGTAGGAGAGGAAGTACTTTCGCGC